TGGTCCACTTCCAGGTCCACTGGAGAGCGCACTGGGGGCTCCCCCATGTCGTTCCCCCCCCCCGGCTCAGCAACCAGCACCTTCTGGGTCTGGGGGGGCATGCAGGGTCCTTCTGCAGCTGATTGCTGAGCTGAAGGGTGCGGAGGGGCGGGAAGGGGAGGCTGCACGCTCCCCAGCGGACACAGAAGTACTTCTGGGTTCACCACCGAGCACGTGGGGGTGGTCCCCCCATGCTCATGGGACACTCCATCCACCCCACCATCACACCCCATCATGAGCCGCACTGGTACCTCGAGGTATGTAGAAAAAACATTTAAAGCTGTGTCTATGTCCAAATCGCTGATTCTCCAAATCAGCATTGAATCTCCAGATTCAGATTTGGCCAATTCGAATCAGGGACAGTGATCCAAATCAACGAATCGAATCACTGTCCCTGATTCAGGCTGAATCTGAATCAAATAGGGGCTGCTTCGCACACCCTTAGCTAGCATCTTTCCAGAAGTGTGAGGTTCCCACAACTAAAGCCAATGTGGCATATAGTTGTCTCATCAAAGCAAAAGGGTAATTGATACCTCTGTATAGACAGCACACAGGTTCAGGTGGTGGGCTCTGTGTAATAGCCTGCACCCCATTCCAGTTCTCATCTGGGTTTGTTGTATAATTCGATCCTCTTATTACTACTGCTTAAGTGAATCCTCAGGCTCAAAACCCAGATCTTCAGCTGGGATCCACTGACTGCAGTGGGAGTTAGATGCCTAAATGCTGGTCCAAAGCGCACTGGAACCAAATTCTGCATCAGGCTTCCCTGGGTTGCTAATACATCTGTTACCCAAGAACTTGGATAGTCTCCATGGGAGGGGCTGGAAGCTGCAAATTCTCTTGGCATCACTGTGAACAAAGATGTTCCTAAGCATTTTCTTCCAACACCAGCTGCTCTGACTCATCAGTATTTATGTGGCAATTTTGCAGCAGAGTGCCTTTACTCTACCCAGCATGTTATGTGTATAAGGTCCTGTCCACATGAAAAGAATCATTCTGTTGATTCATCAGCCATGTTACTGATAACTGTTTCCTTGACTACCAAGAGCAGTGTTAGATCTGCTTCCAAAGCCTTGGGGCTGAGAAAGTAGGGCTACACACAATTTGGTTAGTAGTTTGCAGACAAACATCACTGCTTGTATTGCTACAGACTTATGCTGTTTGCAGTATCTGCTCAGCTCCATACGAGCACCAGTGCAGAAAGCTTCCCTCCGCTAGCTAGAAACTTCCAAAAGTACTTAGGGAGACTGAAGGCAGCAGACATGACATTAGCCCAGGGTTCCAGCTCATGGGCCAGATTGGACCTATGATGATATCTATTTTCCAGCAGCCCCTGTCCGTGTTGTTGCAGCCAGTTTCCATGGAGACCCTAGAGCAGTGGCACCATGACAGCGCAGGACCAGGGTTTCCATGGAGACTGGCCTTAGCAGAGCTGGCAAGTTGTATGGCTGTGCAGGGAGCTGCTCCGGGGCTGGGATCTTGCAGTGGTGACAGTGTGGGCTGGAGCTGGGGCAGAGCTGCAATCCACTACCTGCATGCCCCAGATCTGGGAGAGGGAAACATGGTGCCTAGGGTGTGTGGACAGCAGATCACAGCTTTGCCCCAGCTCCGGACCACGCTGTCACTGCTGCGAGATGCTAGCCCCAGGGAGCAGCTCCCTGCCCAGCCACACACCCTGCCAGCACTGCTGGGGCCAGGCTCCATGGAAACCCTGGCCCTATGCTGTCATGGTGCCCCAGCGGCTGGAGTCTCCATGGAAACCGACTATAGCAACCCAAGCAGGGGCTGCTGGGAAATGGAGTCCAGCTGCCAACTGGGTCTGCCATTTTGTCCTTCTACGTTAGCCACATCTTTTCCTTGTATATCGTTGGCTATAGAAACTGGTGTATTTTAACCAAGCTAGTCTGATTGGCCACCTAGACTTGGTAAAACTTTGACTTTTTTCTTCTTTTTTTGAATGGTTGGAGAGCAATGGCAGCACTGCATGGTGAACCATCTGTCAGAAGGGCAAAACCAGGACTGAGACACCTCAGCCAAGACACCACATAGGCTTTGCCATGTGCCCATGCAGAATCCTGCTCAAGATGCATGTGGTCCTGTCTGTACATACATTGATCATAACGTTTCTTCAACCTTTGACCTTCATGTAATGCAGTGTGCTAGGGATCTCTCTGTATTACACACTTCTTACAAATCAGCCCCACTGGTCTCCTTCTGCCACTACCTTTCATCTAAGCTGATAGACCTGGACATGGAATAGCAAGCCATGCTCCAAGAGCTGCTGGCTGGTATGCATTCAGGGCTAGATTCTATTCTTAGATGCCTAAGAGTTATTCTATTCCATTCTACCCTGCTTTAGTCACTGAACAACAGTTAACGCAAATGTGCTCTCCTCTTTCTCACTGCTTTTTTTATGAGTCAGACTTAAGGATCAGATGACAGCGTGTTACCAAAGTAGATGCATTAATGGAGACTGAAACAAAGTGAAATAGAATCACAGTGAGGCACCTGAGTCCATGTAGCTGCTCAGTAGGTGGAATAGTGTATAGAGCAGTGGTGTTCAATCTTTCAGCTGGATCGAGCATGTGGTCAGCACACAGAGTCAGTCTGCAGGTGCAATCCAGCATGGACCCCACATGCTGGATTTGGCTGCAGAGCATGTTGGTGTACCAGCACAATATAGCACACAGGGCCACGTCATGTGGCCTATGGGACTCCCCATGGGTCCAGAAACTTGGTGCCAGGGAATTTGCTGATGATACCAAGATGTGGGGGGATGTGGGCACAATAGAAGGGAGCAACAGGCTACAGTCGGACCTTGACAGGTTACAGGGATGGGCGGAGGAGAACAGGATGGGGTTCAACACAGACAAGTGCAAGGTGATGCACCTGGGGAGGAACAACCGGCACCATACCTACAGGCTGGGGAAATCCCCTCTTGTCAGTACGGAGGTGGAAAAGGATCTTGGAGTCATTATTGACTCCAAGATGAACATGGCTCGGCAGTGTGGGGAGGTGGCTAGGAAGGCCAACTGTACCTTGTCGTGCATCCACAGATGCATTTCAAGCAGGACCAAGGAGGTGATCCTCCTCCTCTATGCAGCACCGGTCAGGCCACAGCTGGAGTACTGCGTCCAGTTCTGGGAGCCGCACTTTAAGAGGGATGTGGACAGCATCAAGAGGGTCCAGAGGAGGGCCACTCGCATGATCAAGGGACAGCAGGGCAGGTCCTATGAGGAAAGGTTACGGGACCTGAACCTGTTCAGCCTCCAGAAGAGAAGGCTGAGGGGGGATCTTGTGGCCTGCTATAAACTAGTCAGGGGGGATCAACAGGCACTGGGGGAGTCCCTGTTCCCCCGAGCGCCGCCAGGAGCGACCAGGAATAATGGTCACAAGCTGGCGGAGGGAAGGTTTAA